TATGTAAATCCCTATTCATATTCCTCTAAGAAAAGCCCCTTTAGGAAAATGCTCTGGCATCATGTAGAATGAATGTCAGTAAGATGCAGGGGAATTGGCTATGAAACGCAAGCCTAATATAAGAAGAACTGAGGAAACACTTGTACTTTATTCTTACTGGAAATCAGGACCACAGGATTGGGCAGGAAGAAAAGGGCTGGTAGGATTAAAATACTGTAATATTTTAGGGCCAGGACCGTATTTTATTCGTTTTTATAACTCCCACAAGTGCTAGCAATGTCTTGTGTGTCTGTGGCATGAAAGCAGAATGAGGGAGAAGGGAGTGCAGTTTTCTCATATTTTCGTTGTGGAGAATGAAGTGAGAGCCAGTCCAGGAAGACAAGTCTCGTATATCTAAATGCCTCTCATCTGGAGTGCTCGTGAGGCTAGCCTCTTGCCTTCCTCCCTCCCTCCTTTCTTCTCCCACAAACATCACCGTGTTAACTGCATGGTGGGCATCTGCTATGAAGTTCTACTGAGAGCTCTTCAAGGACAGGAAGATCACAGCATTTGGTGTGATGTTCCCTACACGTGACATTTTAAAATGTTGGTCACTGACTGACTACATTAACTCAGAAGATACTTTTTTCTTGACCCCAAGGGGGTTTGTGGATTCGGAGAAAGTTGAGTTACAATTCTGCCTAAAGTGTTTGGCCTTTCCAGAGGAAAAGAGATGAAGAATAGCACAGAGTCTTTGCCCTAAACAGTCTCGTCGTCTAGTGGGGAAGACAAAGCCAAGGTCTGCAAAGCAATGCTGCATAATATAAGTCTTTATAAAATTGGGCAATAAAGAGTATGGTTCAAACTGTGGGTGCTGTAGGAACTCAAAGATGAGGAACTCCGTGAGCACAGGCTGCATCAGAGCACCGCCCCCCACAGGTGGGACTTGAGGTGGACTTTGTAGGATGATGAGTGCTTTAGGGATGAGGCCTATTGTCCAAGATCCATCCCAGGGCTTCTAGGCGGTTGGAGAGGTCAGGGTTCATGAGAGAGCAGGTCCACACTGCTGCTGCCCTGGATGCCCAGACGCCCAGCCTTGTAAGGACAGGGGATGCATCTGGTCTAGAGTTTCGGCCTGGAGAAGGTGACGCCACCAGCTGCCCAGGGGGCAGAGCTCAGTGGAGTGCCATGGTTGTGAGGATACAACCTGGGACCAGGGCTGTGCCCATCTGTGCTGGGTGGTGTTGCTTTGCTGGGGCGGGCTAGCTCCTTTTCTCCTGGGCAGGTGGGGTCCTGGTTCACGGCTTACCAATGAGAGTGGTGGTTTGTGTCCATAAGCTGTGACAGCCAGTCACCTCTTTCCTGCTTCTGTGCACAAGTGGTCAGTGCTTTCTCTATCCTGTGTCTTTGCGTGGGTATAAAAACAACCCCCTTTCATTAGCATTTTCTTCCTGCCAGCAGTCCTACTTTGTCACCGGCTCTCATACGATAATGTGCTGGAGTGTGTTAATGCAACACTCCGTATTTGTGTCAGCATGTGGCTAAAGCACTGAGTGGGTGTTTGGCTGTTAAAGTATTATGAGGCTCTGTGGGTAGGGGTCTGGCCTCTGAAAAATGAGGATTTTCCAGTTGCTGCTACTGCAGTGGGTCACACAAATGGGTGCGTGCGTTTGTTAACCGAGTGTGCTGTAAGGCTGTGGTTTCCCTGCTGGCCCTTACACGCCCCCATGACGATGATTCTGCTCAACCTTTGGGGTTGGGGAGAAGTGGGGCCAGAGCCTTTTGTCTAACGTGTTAATTTGGGTCCTCCGAGAAGGGGACCCCGGGAAGAGATTAGTTATGCAAAAGATTTATTGGGGAAACTCCTCTGGGGGAAAATGGGGAGGGAGCCTGGGGATGCTGGGTCAGCTGTCAGACCCTGGTGCAGCCCCAACTCCTGTGGAGAGAGGGATGGAAGGAGGGCTGGGTAGGAGAAACTGTAGGCTGTGGTGCAATTCTAAGAAAGGTTTGGCAAGGCTGATGGTGGCTCCTTGAGCCATGATGGCCCTTCAGAGGAGCCTCTTCTCCCTTTCTTAGTCTCCCTGCTGTGCTCAGTCGTTGGCTGGCCTCAGCACGAATGCAGTCACGGATCCCAGAGCACAGGAGCAGAGACCGTCAGTCAACTACACTCCTCGCCGAGGGAGATGAGAGGCGCATTTTCATGGCCATTACATCTGGTCACTTCTGGCAGCAAGCAGCTTACTCCATTTACTCCAGAGTGCCTCTTCTGGAAGGCCGGGACCAGAGCAAGTGCAGAGGGCCAGGCAGGGCCATTTAAGTTTTGAGGCCTTGTATGAATTTAATTACAGGGCCCCAGATACTAGGCACTCATTATCATGACCAATAGTTGTTTTCCCTGCTTTGGAAAAAACAGTGGACACATCATGTTTACTTTTTATTACTGCATTGAAAGCATATTGCAAAAATAAATGGCTTACCTTCTGGGAATTTTGAATGATATTAATACAGGTTCTTTCTGTTCAGGCTCCATTCTTTATCTACCACTTAAGTAGAAAGCAGAGGTCATAGTATCCCTCATGGTACCTGCCGAATAACTTTTAGAAAATGAATCCTTCCTAGGCAGAGAGTGTTGGAAAGTGATGGTCTTACATAGCCCCCCTAAACCACCCAGCATGTGGATGATGTGTCTTCCCTTCCCTTTCCTGACTAGTTTTATGGTATTGACACTGCATGTGGAAGGTGCCCACTGCTCGGTGGCGGATTGAGCGCTCATGGTGGTTCCATACCCATCATTTATTTTCTCTTGCTCACAAAGGTTAGGATACAGCATTTCTCACTGCTACGGAGGAGTGGGCCAGATGCTGAGGTAAGAATAAGTAATATAAAAATATCCTTGCAAGAAATCTGTTCTCCTTCTCACCTCTTCCTCTAATTAGTTCTCCATGTTGTTGCTAAAGTGATAGTTCTTATATGAAAACCTGATTGTTTTACTCTCCTGCCTAAAATCTTTCAATGGTTCTACATTACCTTTGAGTTAAAAATACAAACTTCTTAGCATGACAGAGGAGCCTTTTTATGACCCAGTCCCTGCCTATGGTCTGCAGTCTAGAGTCCTCTCTCTTTCTATCTCTGTCTCTGTCTTTATCTCTGTCTCTCTCTCTCTCATTTGTTCTGGTCTTACACCACTACTGACTCCCTAAATCCACCAGATTTCTTAAATCCCTCTATGTTTATACATTATATTAGGTTATCCTAGTGACTGTTAGCACAGAAACACTAACATGTCAGTGACCACACAATGGAGGTTAACTTTTCACGCACATAACAATGCAGGTATTTCTGGTTGGTAGATGGTTTTCCCCCAGCAGGTGTCTCAGGGACCCAGGCTTCTTCAGTCTGGTGACTCTGTCTCTCTATAGGACTTTTGTTTCCTCCCCCTCCATCTCATAGATGGGGAAAGAGAAGGGAGAAAACTCGCTTACTTTTTCGATGCTGTGGCCCAGAAGTGGCACAAATCACTTTTGCTTATATTCCCTTGGTGAGAACCCAACCAGAAGCAAGACAGCCAGGAAACACAATTCCCGGCCGAGCAGCCACTTCCCGACAGCTATCCTACACATTGGAGAATGTAAATCCTGGGGAACTGGTAGCTGTCTCTGCTGTCACTCACATGCTGCCACCCACGTGTGCAGCCTGGAGCCCAATTCATTCCCTGATTCAGCTCATCTGGACAAATCTTATATGACCTTTTAAGATTCATCTAAAGCTTTGCATCATTCAAAGGCTTTGGAGTGTCTCCTCTGTACTCATATAACACAGAGTGCTTACCAGCTGTCATAGCACATGTCACGTTGAATTATAATTGTTTGCTTATGGGTCTTCATTTTACAAACTTGAGCTCCTGTAGGACTGGGACTGTGTTTTTATTTTAAATCTATAAATGCCTGGCACAAAATATACACCCAACAAATATTTTATTAAATAAATGAAAAGCTATTAGAGGACTAGATTCATAAGAGAGTGGTAAAACCTCCAACATTTGCTGTTTTAAAGAGTAAATTGTGGATTTATCCTAAAACACATACATCAATCCTAATTTTGAACTGAGGAATGTGTAGACTTCTGAAGTTTCTTTGCTATTTGTTAATAAATCTAATATTAAGAAAGTTCACAGTTATCAGATTACCATGAGCATTCTAACAGAGTTTGTACACTTAAAAGTCAAGGATTGTTAGTTGGGTTCAACTCTTCACTAAAAGGAATGTTATATCATTAGGATGCATTTGGCTACAGGTAAGCAGAAACTTGATTCAAAATCGGTTGAAAAATTAGAGAATGTGTTATGTCACGTAGCAAAAAGTCTAGAATTAGGGTTGCTCCAGGATAGGTTGATCTGTTGACTCAGTGAAGTCATCCAAGGCCTGGATTCTGTCTGTGTCTTCTTCCTACCATCCTCAGTATATTGACTATGTCCTTGGACTGGATCCGCTCAAAGTCACAAGATAGTGCCAGCAAAAAATGGAGAAACATGTTGCCTTGGTCACATACTGAGGGAGAGCACAAGAACACCTCTCCCGCAAGCATGGTACAGAAATGCTTCCTGCGTCTGATGGGGCTGTCTTAGCTGTGTGCGGATCTGTGGACCAGAAACTTTCTCCAGGGGAATCCCATCTCCAGACTGATTAGATCACCCAGTATCTGTCATAGAGCAGAGGTTTTTTGAAGCACTCGGATGGATAGAAGAGGTGGGTAGCTCTTCTCTCCAAAATTTTTGGGTCTATTAGGAAGGAAAAAAGGGGAATATATGCTGGATATTCAAGCAATAGTGTCCACCGAAAATATTTAACAAGACAATCTATCGGACTGGTATCTGTGGAAGAGTGAACAATTTTCTAAACCAGGCGATGACCCAACCCTTTCTCCTGCCACTCCTACAAGTTCCAAATCATATATTTAAAGCGTCTGATAGTGAACATTTTAGTTTGCCTTCCTCCAGTGCAATTATTTATTCTTTATTTTAGGCCTCATAATGGGATTAATCTTACGATATGCTACGGCGCCAACTGATATTGAGAGTGGGACTGTGTATGACTGTGGGAAACTGGCCTTCAGTCCATCAACTCTGCTGATTAATATCACTGACCAAGTTTATGAATACAAATACAAGAGAGAGATAAGCCAGCACAACATCAATCCTCATCAAGGCAATGCTATACTTGAAAAGGTAAGGATTCTATCTGGTCATATATTTTTGTTTTCCACTATAAATAATCGCATCGTATATGAATCACCATATGTAATGCATTCACACACCTGTATACAGTAGTCACCCCTTATCTGCAGTTTTACTTTCTGTAGTTTCAGTTACCCATAGTCAGAAAATATTAAAAAGAAAATTCCAGAAATAAACAATTCATAAGTTTTAAATTGTGCGCTGTTCTGAGTAGCATGATGAAATCTCATGCTGTTCCGCTCCATCCTGCCGGAAAAGTAAATCATCCCTTTGTCCGGTGTATCCACACTGTATACGCTACCTGCCCGTTGGTCACTTGGTAGCCGTCTCGGTTATCAGATCAACTGTCACAGTATCGCAGTGCTTGTGTTCAAGTCACCCTCATTTTACTTAATAATGGCCCCCAAAATGCAAGAGTAGTGATTCTGGCAGTTCAGACACGCCAAAGAGAAGCTGTAGAGTGCTTCCTTTAAGTGCAAGGGTTAAAGTTCTCTCCTTAAGGAAAGAAAAAAAATCATATGCTGGAGTTGCTAAGATCTACAGTAAGAATAAATCTTCTGTTCATGAAATTGTGAAGAAGGGAAAAGAAATTTGTGCTAGTTTTGCTGTCACACCTCCAACTGCAAAAGTTATGGCCACAGTGTTTGATAAGTGCTTAGGTAAGATGGAAAAGGCGTTAAATTTGTGGCTGGAAGACATGAACAGAAACTTCCGATTGACAGCAACGTGTTGTGACAGAAAGCATTGAGCCTATACGAAGACTTCAGCAAGGGATCCCCTGAAATGAGTGACATGAGCCATTTACTGCAAGTAGGGGATGGTTACACAGATTCAGGAATAGGTTTGGACTGAAAGAGAGAGATCACATTCACATAACTTTTATTACAGTATATTGTTATAATTGTTACATTTTATTATTAGTTATTTTTGCTAATTTCTTACTGTGTCTAATTTATAACTTAAACTTTACCATAGGTATGTATGCATAGGAAAAAATCATAGTGTATATATAGGGTTTGGTACTATCTATGGTTTCAGAAATCCACTAGGGGTCTTGGAACGTATCCTCCGTGGATAAGGGGACTACTGTGTGTCCTTTTACGACACCACACTGTTGGAGAGATTTAGTTGACTAAGGGGTTAACACCTTGATATACTCTTATTGTAAGCTCAGTTGTCTGTATTTTCTTCTAGATGTTGGAAAAGAATGGTTTTTAGTATAATTATTTTGAAAGCCAGAATTACCTTAGGTAAAAAGATAATAATTCAGCTGACAATGCCTTTCACGATACTTGATTCAAGTTTTCACACGTGAGTTTTAAGTGTCATTGTATACATTGCCAGCTGGCTACTGAGTTCAAGTCTCCCTTAAGTAAAAAGGAAAATGGAAGGGAATGAAAAAATTGGCACTTGCAAACCTCTATCTAGGATAACTGGCTCTTGGCTGCCAGCACAGAACACTGGCCCCTTGGCTGCTTATAAATGTACTGACACACAGTCACTCTCAAGAGATCTTGACTCCATCAGTTTAGTTGGGGAATTTTAGGTAAAAAAATAAAAATTGTGAAGTGATTCAGCTTTTAAAAATGGTTTTCTTATTGCAAATTTGTGAACTGCTTCAGATATTGGAAGGAAAACTTCCTTCTACTCTCAGGGCTCTGGGTCAGAAAACAGGTGAGGTTCCCTTTTGTGGTGCCTTGTGGGTTCTGGATCAGTCTTTGGAATAAGTGAATTCATGGTTGATGATACAAGTATGTGCTAAGAAACAGGATCTCATGAGACTTATTCCAGATCCTTGTGAGTCAGAGCTGAGAACTTCCTTGATATTATGATAGTGCATTTTATCACTTTTATCCCATATGGACTTAGTTTTCTTTAATATATACATTTTTTTTTTTTTCCATTTTGAGAGATTTGGGGCAGGAGGGGAGACACTTGGTCTGCCATTTATCCTCATTCAAGATGGGTAATTTTTAGAATTCCTTTATTTTTTCCACATTATCTTCTGCTAGCACATTTCTAGATTAACTTCCTCCTAGCACTTGGTGAGGGCTCAGGAACAGCAAATGAATTATATTAGCCTAAATCAGACTTAGTTAGGAAAGTGAAATGAAGTACACAAAAAACAAATTAAACAATGTATTTCTGAAATAAATAGGAGCAACTTCTAGATCTTCTGCTGTTTTGGATGATCTCTTCTATGTGATTCTTTCTGTTTGCGTGGATAATAGAAAATTATCTTGAAATAAATAATTTTTTAATGACCTTATTAGCAGCATAGGATTTTAATTAAAACACACTCTTCAGTTTTACCTTTGCTTAGTACCCGGACATAGATTAAGTATTTCCCTCCTCACTCTCTTACCTATTTTTTTTTTTTGTGAGGAAGACCAGCCCTGAGCTAACATCCCATGCCAATCCTCCTCTTTTTCACTGAGGAAGACGCCCTGCGCTAACATCTGTGCCCATCTCCTTCTACTTTATATGGGACACCGCCACAGCATGGCTTAACAAGCGGTGCGTGGGTGCACGCCCGGGATCCGAACCGGCGAACCCCGGGGCCACTGAAGCAGAGCGCGTGCACTTAACCACTTGTGCCACCAGTCCGGCCCCTCTGTTACCTATTTTTATCTGCATTTCTAAGCAGCACTATTTCTCCAAATGGGTTGACCCCCAAAGATGCTGAAATTATCTCTCTCACTACAGTAATTTTGTTCTCTAACAGGATTTCTAACAAACACATGATGAGAAATTTCATTACTGTATTATTGACATAGTGACTCCTTTATCAGCAGCCAAACTCCAGAGTTTGATGTTGAAAAATTAAGGCAAGAGATGAAGAAAATGTCTAAGTTATTAGGGCCTTCTTGGTTTTTTTGTTGGGTGGATTACGTGTTCTGCACATAAAGTGTTTAATTGACCTTGAGTGGCTAAGGGATTTTCTAGATTAATTCTAAATCATGTGACTCCTTGAGTCACGATTAGCATTTGTTCCTCCAAGCAGCCAAAATTGGCAATAGGCAACTCAGCACCCAGAGTAAATCGTCCCCTCCTTGCTGGTGGAAAAAGGGGCATCCACTGGTACACCATATTAGACGACTTTAAGTGGAAAGGATCTAGTTCATAAACGGCCAGAATATATCTTAACGCACATTTGTTGCTTATGTGTCAATTTGGGGGACCCTAGTTAGTCTGCAAAAATGAAAAACCGATAGTCTGTCTTCCTTACTGAGAATTCTTCACTGCATGCAACTATTTATATCAATAGATCAATCTGTGTCAGAGCAAAAGGATTTCAAAAAAGGGTCCATTCATTGGAAGGCTTGTAGGGAGGTTTATATGGAGCAATGGGAAAAGAATTCAGGACTAGACTGATCTGCCATACGCTCTTAGTAAGTTCCTTGAACTGCATAATCTCCAACTTTCTTATTTGTGAAGTGGGGAGATTAGAACTATTTTGTAGAATTATTTTAATGTATAAATGAGATGATGTATGTAAAGTGCTTGGTGACCACAAGGCCCTTTACATTGCACTGCTATCACTGCCTCTTCTACTACCACTGCCACGCCTAATACCACCGCCAAGGCCATCGCCACTGCACTACCTCTAACACCAGTGCTACCATTGCTGCTACTAGATAATGTTTGAATGCTTAATATATGCCAGGGATTAATGAAATGTGTGTTTGTTTGTTTCATTTATTTAACATCCATTGGGGAGACAAAACCAATGCATAATATGTGCCTGTATATAATTCAGTTCTAAATTGTATCATATGCGTTATAAGGACTATAAAACTTTACAGATTAGTGGTCACAGATACTTGAGCTTGTTAGGAGGGCTTCCTTGAGAGGGGCTTTGTAGGGTGGATATGGTTTGGATAGGCAGTAGGTATTCAGTTCAGAAATGTCACTGGGCAGGATGGATTGGAGGGTGAGGCTGCAGGGTGTGGTTATCTGGGTAAGAGGGGAAGACGGCTTCATGGAGGCTTTGGATCAACAGAACCTGCTTGATTTATAGAAACAGCGTGAAGAGAAGAATCTAAGATTTCAAGGTTTCAGGCCTGACTGGGAGAATGAGAGTCCCAGGAAAGAAGTAAAGGAGGGAAAGAAGATTTGAGGAAGAGGATGGGTGAAAATGCCCCTGGATCTGCAAATAGAGATCATCTAATTTAGAGCAAGACAGAGACTTGACCACATTAAGTTAAACCCTGTCATTTTATAGATGAGTAAAACAACAACTTAAGCACTAAGATTGATTTAAGTCAGTAGTTCCCAACCTTGTCTGCACTTTGGAGTCACTTGAAGCTTCAAAAAATCCTGATGCTTGTGTTGCTACCCTGGAGTTTGTGATTTTACTGGTCTAGGGTGTGGCCTGAGCTTTGGGACTTTTAGAAGATCACTGGGTGGTTCTACTGGGCAGACAAGTCTAGGAACCACTGATTTAAGTCTATGTTGTGTTCAGGTGAATATGGTGAGGAGAGAAATGCCCCTTTTATGCTTCTGAGAGCTTGGTAGTGGATATACAGCTAGAATATTTGGAAATTATCATCTTGGAGTTGGTAGAATTGTAGTGTCGTGGATGCTTAATGCTTGAAGAAACTAAGATATTATCTCATCTTAGTTGTATAAATACACATAATAAATTCATATCTGGAGAAATTATATGATGGGTCCAGGGTACCACTACTGCCCAGAGGCAAAAGTGGGACACATAGCACTTTACACTGCATCCTGAGTGGTTTATTGTCCACACTACTGGACAGGATCCCAAGTGGACAGGCTCCTGTGGACAGAGAAGGGCAGGGTGCCTCGGGCTGAGGTTTGGGGAATCTCACAGTGAGACAAGTAGGAGGAGATGAGGACCAGTGCTGGAAAGAGAAGAGGATGGTCAGAGTACAGGAAGAGGTCCAGCACAGCAGAGTCACAGAAGCAGAGGATGGTCAGAACTACAGGAAGAGGTCCAGAATAGTAGAGTCATGAAAGCCAGC